GGGCCCTGTGGCCAAGTCTCCATGGTGCAGACAGGGAGGAGGGAGCTGGGCCGGATGATGCCGAGCATTAGATGACGGTTTTCTGTAATCCGTTCCTTTGGCTTGGGAATGCAAAATATTATCATTTTTGCCTGGAGATTTCCCTTCCTCAATGTGTTTGGCTCCAGCCAGCATTAAGATGAGTTTGCATTCCTCCACACTGCCTGGCTTCCAACTCTAAATTGTTTGCGGAGACTCAAGACAGATGCTCGAGTGCTGACAACTGGAAGTCAGCTGCGTGTTTGCCCAAGAGGACTTCGGGACATGTGCCAGGGCGGGCCTTAGATGTCAGAGGGCCGGACCCTCTCATTTTACAAATGGGGAAACCGAGGCCCAGAGAGGCATTGTGACTCTCTATGGACACACAGCCAAGTTAATGACAAAGCTGGGATTAGACCCCGGATCACCCCGCCCTAGTCCAGACTTCTCTTGGCTTCCTTTCAGGCTCTGTTGACTTACAAACACGCTGTCGCCTGCCCAGCCTGGCTGCAGGCTCCGTGTCCCTGCTCCCTACCCTGGAACCTGGAGCACCACAGCCCCACAGAGAGCACAGATCGGAGGGCGGTAGAGGAGGGTAACACGAGAGTGGTGGTGGGTAAAGATGAGCGTGAAGAAAGGCTGGTGACCTTGGACAAATCGCCACCCCTCGCTGGGCCTTAGTTTCTCACTTATAACACCACGAATCTTAAACCCGACAGAGTGGTTCTCAAACTGTGTTTCAGGGAACCTGAGGCTCCAAGGCAGTGTCTTAGGTCTGCCACTAGGGGTGGGAAACTATTCCCCACCCCCTACTCCTAACCCTGACAATCCAGGGTTTTTTGAGCCCTCTTTGTTCAAAAAACATGGGATTCACTGCAGAAAAACAAAGTTTGGAGACCAGTAGTCTATTCGGTCTCTAAGATCCTTGCTTGCTCTTAAGAATAAAATCCTAGTAAGTTACCCCTCCTGATAACATATTTGCTGCACGCCACCTTTGGCCCAGCAGTGGCTTGTCTGGGTGGGGAGTTCATGCCCCACAGCAAGTGGAGAGAGAAAATGAGGTGAAGGAAGCCCCCATACTTGGGGCTCTGTTCTGCACAGAGCTGACCTGGGGCCGTATTCCATGCTGGGGGCGGCCTGTTGGTTTGCATCTGCCACTCCCTGAACAAGGCAGGACAACCCAGCCACCAGGCCTGGTGCGTGGCTGAGGCAGAGAGAAGCCACGACTTGCCTGCTAGGCCACACTGCTCCCTGGCCACGTCCCAGCCCAGCCCTGCCTGCCGTTGGGCTTTCCCGGGCAGACCTTGGGAAGGGCACTTGGGCACTACCCCAGAAACCACGAGGAGGAGGAGCCACATCCGCAGCTGCCCTCTCCTCGTGTCTTTGTCCAATCACTGTGTGAAAATTCCCTCCTCTTCCCCGACAGCACATCACTGCAGAGCTACGCTGTACCCGTTATCAGCTGCTGTAATAATGCCATGTAACAAATAATCCCCCAATCTCAGCGACACACAGCAATAATCCTTTAGTTCACACGTCTGGGGTCAGCGGATCCAAGCCGAGCCCGACTGAGTGTCTGTGCCGGTCTCACGGGGCTGGATCGTTAGTCCCGGGCTGGCTGATCTCAGCTGGGTTTGGCCGGGGCGACCCACCGGGGACAGCTCTGCTCCTAACGGCTCTTGTCCTTGTCCTGGGCTCTGCGGGCTGGCTTCTCACGGTGACAGCAGGCGTGCAAGTGAGCGGGCTAACACAGACAAGGCGTCCCCCCCCCTCCACCCAGGCTGGGGCTGCCATGCTCTCATTTCTGCCTCATGTGGCCCAGCGCAAAGTCAAGTGGGTCGGGGGAAACGTGCCCTGCCGATTTAGGTGCGGGAACCACAGAGTCACATGGCGAAGGGTGTGGATACGGAAGAGTGAAGACTTGGGATGACAATACTGTAGGCTGGAGCAGGACCACTTGTTTGCAAATGCCAGCTCTGCCACCCACGAGATATGTGACTTGGGGCAAGTTATGGAAGCTCTGTGCCTCAGTTTCCTCACTTCAAAAATAGAGACCGTGATAATATATCTACCTCGCAGGATTGCTGTGAGGGGTAAATGTGTTGGTACATGTAACTAACGTGTACCTAGTGCTCCGCAGTGTTTGCGTGCTGGTGCTGATGGTGGTGGCTGGGCAGAGCTGAATTTTCTACTCTACTCAACACACCTTCCTGAGCACCTTCTGTGTCCCAGGCCCCGTGGTGGGGACGAAAAGATAAGCAGGACCCAGTTCTTGTGCTCACGTGGCTCAGAGTCCTGGGATGTGGAGAAGACGCACGGAGTTAGCTCTGCTCAATGTGCGTGTTTAATCTTTTCACTTAAATATTCACTAAACCCCCTCCGCATGGAGACGCAGGCAGAGTTGCTGCCTTGGTTAGCTCACAGCCCAGTGCGGTTTTGCCGCCAGCCAGGCAGCTACCCGTGGGGAGGAGCCGCACCCCCCGCCCGCCAGCCTGGGCCTTCCCGAGCACAGGGCCCAGCTGCCCACCTGCCTGGGGGCCTCCCGGGGTAAGGTCTCCTGTGAGGACAGCAGGCTCCGAGAGCAGGCTCCCCACTTCTCTCCAGAGTCAAAGGGCTCCCCGAGCTGGAAACACCCCTTCTCCAGTGGGGGCCTTCTTCCCTCAACCAGCTAGAAACTTCTCTGATGCGGGGCCGCATCCCCTGACCCTTCTTTGCTACCTGGCTGGTTCCTATTACAGGAGCCTAGACTAGGGTCCTTGGGCCCCAGCACTGCCCCACACCCGGCGTTGCCTCCCTAGATGTCTCTTTAAACCATGGCCTCAGAGCAAGAGCCACCGCACCTTCGTCACTCACCAGGGCAGCAGGCCGGGCATCCACAGCGCACTTTTCTTTCTCACTTCCGAATGGGTTGTGTTTTTTTCCATAGCAGCAGGAGGCTCGCTTTGCAGCATCTTTTTGCTTAGGTTAATTTTATGGTCTCTTCTCCCTCCCCTCTCCCCATCTGTGATTTGCTTTTAGCTGTGCAGATTCCTGGCGCCCGAGTAAAACTGGCAAGAGGGAGATAATGCTAGAGAATCCTGGTGGTCAGTCCAGCCTCCCTCGCCCCAGCCAGCTCCTACCAGCCAAGGAAAACGACAGCTCTTGCTTACACAGGTGCCTGTGCGCCGTGGAGCAGACCCCAGAGACCGGCAGAGGCCGGGCCTGGCCCTGCGAAGGCCGTGGGTCATGCTCCCCCTTAGGTTCCACAGAGTGGCTCCTCTGGCTGTCAGCTCAAGTCTGGGCCTTCGTGTAGGCGTTCAAAGCTCTTGGACTCTGGCTCCATCCTGCTGGCATCCCTGATCTCTGTGTTCCACCTGTCATGGTCAGGGAGTCACCGACCAGTTGTCCGGTGAGCAGGACCTGAGGACGTGAGACCCAGGGGGGGAGTGAGTTTACGAGGAGGGTTGGGTGACAGGACAAGTCTGGATGAGATGACTCCAGGGAGCACTGAGTGACCGAGGAGAGCGGCTGGCTCGAAGGGGAGAGGAAGCCCTGACGGTGCCAGGCAGGATGGCATGGGACCCGTGGGGCTTCCTAGCTTTGTGACCCTGGCCAGGTGCTGACCTTCTTTGTGCCTCAGTTTCCTCACCTGTAAAATGAAGATAATGATATACTTACTCTAAAAGGTTGATGCAAGCACTGAATAAATTCAGAGCAGAGCTTGGGACCTAGTCAGTGCTATGTGCCTGCACACTATTACTTTTATTATTGTTATCTAAATGGTAAGAGACTGTCAGTACCTGAGTCAGGGAGCTAGGAGGTAAACTAAGGCAGGAAGAAGCCAACAGTTAACTGATTCTGAGAACAGGCTCTCAGAAGGTGAGAAATCAAGCAGGCAAGTCTATCTGCACCTTTTGGGCACTGGGCAAAGATAAAAAGCCACTCGTGGGTGTGGCCTTGGACAGCATATGACCTGATAGGAGAGCAGCTGGATGAAGAAACAATGGTATGGCAGGGCAGGGAGCAGCCCATGTTGATAGCCATGTGGCCCTGGAGGGAAGGATCACTTGGCAGCAGAGGTGTCCTCAGAGCTGGGCCTGGGGGTGTGAGAAGGAGGGGAGAAAAGGCCCCCGAGGTATGGGCATGGGCACAGGGGCAGCTCAGAGAACAGGGATCTTGATTCAGCCAGGATGTATTGAGCGCCTGCCGTGTACCAGGCACTGCCACGGGTCAGTCACTCCATCTAGTCTTGCCAGCCACCCTTCAGGGGAGGCGCTATTAGTCCCATTTTACAGATGAGTAAACTGAGAACCGGAAAGGAGGAGTAAGCGGCCCAGGGTCACCCACTTAGTGAATGAATGCTGGAGCCAGGCTTCTAGCCAAGCCCTCCCTGAACTCAAAACCTTTGCTCTCTTCGTGCCTGCCTCACCTGCAAGGAGCCAGGCTGGTCGGCAAGAGGAGCCGGGCAATTCCCCACACCTTTGCCCAGGTAGACGCTTCTCCTTTGTTTCCCTGGCTCCATGCTCGCAGCAGGAAAGCCTGCCTGCCACCTCTGGGCCTCTTCGCCTATTCCTGCACATGGCCCTTCAGGCCAGGGTCACAGCTCCTGAAGCCGCCCAGTGACCCAGCCCCCTGAGGTCCCTCCGTTCTCCAACAGCCGTGGCCTTCTGATCACCTGTGCACTTACTCTCCGCGCGCTTCCCGCAGGCCACTCGCCAGGCCGGAAGGATCCATGGTCTCTTCCTGTCCTGCTTGCCCCTCAGCCCCTGCACTGAGTGCTAGATCCAGCAATGAGTCATACAGACCCCGTCCTCCCCTCCTGGAGCCAGGGGCCCGATGGGGGAGACAGGTGATCAGATAACCATATCCATCAAGTATGACTATAATTGTGATAAGAGAAGGGAAGTAACCGGCCACCCACTAGTGAGGTAGGGAGGGATGAGATCATTACGCAAGATCTGATGCAATCAGAGGGTCGGGGAGTCTTCGTAGGGGAGCCAGGGGAGGATGTGACAGTTGTGCTGTCCTGTGACAATGACGGGACTCTCACTAGAAGCTCGGGCAGAGGACATGGCACGTGCAAAGGTGTAAGGTGCGTCTGGGGAGCAGGAAGGGGGCCCAGAGGAAAACTCGCACAAGGCCGGGCTGGGGAGTCTGATGGGCTTGGGCTGGGGAGTCTGATGGGCTTGGGCTGCTGGGGAGAGTCGGGACTTTCTCCCAGGATCCCTGCAAAGCCGTCTGGGAGGGGGAAGGGAAGGCAGTGGAAATGGACGGGCACAGCAGGGCCCTCCTTAGGCTGGAGTGAATACCCCCCCGCCCCGTGGCACTGCTGAGCTGCCCATGGCTGTCGTATCAGGGGCTGAGACCGCTCTGCCTGTGGTAGGTGGTGGCCGCCACCTTAGCCTGCAAGAGTGTCATGGAGACCTGTGAGTGTGATGCTGTGGTCTCAGTCCCTTCTCGGGACCGACTGAAGCTGTTTTCAGAAGACAGATAGGATTCTGAGAAGGGAGCAAGGGCTGACGTGACTGCCCGCAGTGCGCAAGGCAGCAGCCCAGGAACCGTGGGTTTCTCCCGCTGTCATCAATATAAGGCCAGAAAAGTGGCGAGCCGCCCAGCCAGGCTCCCAGCGCCTCCGCGGTCCGCCTGTTGATTCCCGTCAAAAACAGCTTTGTTTTGTTTTGTTGGTATTTGGGGGTCATAAATCTCCGAAAAGAGTGCACTCCCCGAGCATGGAAACCACCCACCACCAGAGGGGAAGGCCAGAGATCCTGTCAGGAGCCGAGGTCAGAGAGATGGACTTGACATCATTTTTAGGAAATTCGTTCTCTGGTTGGTGCAGCCTGGTCAGAAGCAAATGCCGACTGGTCTCTGGGGAAGAAACCAGCACTTTGTAACCTAATGCCTCTTCCTCGTGGCCAGATTTCACTAATCCTGCCCCAGTGGGGGTGGGCCGGGGTGCGAGGGGCCAGCCTGGTCCTAGGCAGGGCCCATGGGAGGGCCCCAGCTTCCTCGAGTGCCTCTCCCAGCCCGCAGACGCGGGGACGTGAGGCAGGAGGGGAGATGCTCTGAAAGGGGTGGCCCCTTCTCCGCAGCAGCGGGTCCTCGTTACGAAGGGCTGAGCTAGAGAGGGTGGCACGTCACCCCAGCACCCCAAGCTCTTTAGCGACGCTCCAGCTAGTCTCTCCCCGGCTGAGTGATTTGGGGCAAATTATTTAACCTCCCACAGGTGTGATACTACCTACCTCGCAGGGCTGGGGTGAGGTTCAATCGATTGATGTAAAAGGAGTGGTCAGGTACCTGGAGCCGTGTCTGGAACATGCCGTGCTGGGGAAGTGTTCCTTCCTTTCCTTTCCTTGCTGAGGGGGGACGCCCGGCCGAATGAGGGTCCCCGCCTCTGCTCAGTCAGCAGCGTCTGTGAGCTCACCTGTATCTGAGGCACTGAGCGAACAGCACCCAGAACGCAGCAGTCTCGTGGCACGTAGAGAACATAAGGACATTATAAAATATCAGCCGTGTGACAATGAACCAGCGAATATGTGACGTATAGTATTGGTAAGTGCTGGGAGGAAAAATGAAACAGAGTGAGGGGACAGGGAGCGCCAGGAGGCCTGGGGCTGGACAAGACGGTTGAAACAGAGACCCTGATGGCACGGGGGTGGGGGGCTGCAGGGAGGAGGAAGAGCGCCCCAGGCAGCGGAGCAGCCAGGACAAAGACGCTGAGCAGAGGACAGGTCTGACACGGCGGAGCAGCCAGAGGGGCAGTGTGGCGGAGCAGCGGGCTGGGGAGCAGAGTGGGGCGGTGGGGGGTGTCAGCACTCAGGGCCGTGCAGCAAGGAGTCTGGCTCCTGCCATGAGTGGGGTGAGAAACTCTCCATGGAGGGGATGGGGCTGAGGAATGACGGGATCTGACATGTCTCGGAAGGGTCCCTCTGGCCGCCGTTGCTCAGGGAGCGCTGGTACAGGGCGTGGGTGGAAAGAGACACAATCGACGGCTTCACCTTCACGGGCCCTCACCCCTGCAGGCCTGGACGTGGTGGGGGGTCTGGAGCTCCTGGCACCCAGAGCAGCCTCCCCCTGCTCAGCACACCTGCCCTGCAGGGTCCTGGGCGGGAAGGGAGGACCTAGTCTCCAGGGGGCACCAGAGAGCCAGTGTCGCCCCGCAATCGGGGAAAGTGTGTGGCCTGTGCGTATGTGTGTATCTCTGTGTGTGCATGCATGTGTGTGTATCTCTGTGTGTGTGTATCTCTGTGTGTGCACGCATGTGTGTGTATCTCTGTGTGTGTGTATCTCTGTGTGTGCACGCATGTGTGTGTATCTCTCTGTGTGTATCTCTGTGTGTGCGTGCATGCTGCACATGTGTGTGTGAACACGTACGTGCGTGTGTGTTCATTCCTAGGACACATTTGGGGAGGGGGTGAGTTTCCCTCTGCAACTGCAACTGCACCCTTTTGACCCCTCTGTGCCCACCACCTCCCAGCTCTGCACAGGTGACACTGGTGGCTGTCTCTCCTCCATAACATGCCGCAATGGCCGAGGACCTGTGCTCTTCATCACCCAGGGCTCACCTGTCCAGAGTCCCCTTCCCAAAGCCGCTGCCACTACCCTGGCCAAGTCCATTCACGGCGTGGGCTTTGTCGACAGGCGCTGGTGGGTCAGCATACCATTCATCTCCCAGCCCCACTCCAGGGCCATGACACTGATTCATGTGGCAGGTTAGGAATCCTGAAGACAGTGTTATCAGCTGCGTAGTCTCCTGCTGCCACTGTCCTGCCCTGTACCCGTGACACCAACACACCGTTCTTGCCCACCGAGCACAGATGTGACTTCACAGCCTTAGTTGACTCAGTGCTCCAGGCAGAACTAATAACCACTTGGCATGGGTAAGTGAGACAACACATAGCTAATGTCCCTGCTCGTAACACCCCTACTCGTAGGTCCTCTGGCTTTACTTCTGGGGATTCCAATTCTATAACTCTAATCATGGAACTTCTGGACACTGTGTCCATCTGCTGGACAAAAAAAAAAGAAGTGTGGGGAAAACCACTAGTTTCTGCACAGCAGGCCCTATTGAAGCAGGTGACCCCAGACGTCACTCTCAGACACTCTGCCCAGGGGAAGGAGAGGGGGCGCTGGAGGGTCCGAGCCTCAGGTTCAGAGTCCCTATCCAGCAGGCTCTGTGGCCTTGGGCAGGTGCTAAAACCTCTCTGACCCTCAGCTTTGCTCTTGCTGCCCATCTGACAGGGTTGTCATGGAGACCGAATGGTAACATACATGCGAATGTTCTTCGAAACTTATAAAGTGCCCCATGTGTGAAAGGGGCGATGGTGATAAAAGTTCTACTCTGATTCACTTACCTAAAAGTTTTGGCTTGTGGCAGGATCCCACCCTGTAAATCCCTCGGGTACCGAGTTCGGTAGCCTTGTTAGTGGCAGCGAGTGGGCAGAGGTGTGGCTGGGGTGGGTATCACAGCCAGACGTGCTCTGAAAATGCCTCGCGGAGGGAAGGACTCACAGGGTAGGCGTCTGAGGTCCTAGCTGTGGTGCTACCATCGTGCTACCTGCTTTGTGCCCCTGACAGAGCTCTCAGCCTCACTGGTGCTGTGCTGAGCGCGTGTGCCAAGTGTGGGCCATGCTTGCGCATCCTGCCAGGGGCCTGTGAGGGCGGTGATGGCAGCTGTGAGCAGATCAGAAACCCGAGTGCTACACAGGTGTGAGATGCTATTTCTTGCGCTTTGCCCAAAGAGGCCAAGCATGTAGCTCAACACAGGCTTCCGGCCAGGAAGAATTACTTAATTGACATGTGACTTACCCAAACGGGGGACTCTGGGGGCCGGGTGAAAGGCTTACAGGACTTGCTCTCTGCTCTGTCTCGGCTGCCCGGGCCAAGCAGCAGCCCCTCGCTGCGGAGCCGGCCAGCTGTGCGACCGGATCAGAGGGAGGGGCCGGCCAGCGGTGCTGGAGCCCGCGGGGCCCCAGGCTTTGGGGGTGGGGAGGTGGGAAGTCAGTTCCCTGACTCTTCAGCCAGCAGAGATAAGGAAAGGGAGGAGAAGAGAGAGCAGGAGACGGAGGGAAAAGGGAGAGGAGACCAACAGGAGCTAAAAAAAGGAGCAGGCTTGAAGGAGGATGATGAGGGAGGAGAAAGCTGTCTCCCCCCCCCCCCCCCCCGCAAGCCCGGGAATTCTCGGAGGAGAGGCTGGGTCTGCATTCAGACTGCGTCTCCCTAGGAGCAGGTTTTGTGCCTCCCCTCTCGGTGTGTGGCCCCCTAGTGCAGGGACTGAGCCTCTCCCCTCAGACCGTGGGCTCTGCCAGTCAGGGACTGTGTCAACCACGTCATATGGGGGCTGTCCAAGCAGTGGGAACACACTCCCCCACGGCCAAGACCCTCCCAGGTAGGTGACCTGCCGGTGGGTCCCGCCCGACACAGCCCTGGAACCTGCACCTGCACTTGCACCTGTCTGACGCCCCTGCTATCTCCTCTCCCCACCCCAGGGTTCACGGACACCTTCAACATGGACACCAGGAAGCCCCGGGTCATCGCCGGCTCCAGGACCGCCTTCTTTGGCTACACGGTGCAGCAGCACGACATCAGTGGCAAGAAGTGGTGAGTGAGAGCCGCTGCCCACACCTGGCCCTCCGTTCAGCCCCTGAGCCCAGGTGCTGCCTGACCTGGGCAGCACGTGCAGACTCTCCCATTCCCGGTGACTTGGCTGCTTGTCCGGGCAGGTCAGGGCGGCACGGGCTCTGCCCCGGACCAGGAAAGCCTGAGCATCCAATCTGCCGGGCACTCCCTCTCCTCATCTGTGAATGGTGAATGGACCCCCCTTCCCTGGGTGATGTGACAGCACAGGTAGCAGGCACTCTCCCCCCATCCCCCCTCAGGGCCCTGGTGTCTCATCAATGGGGACAGCTCTCTGGTCTGTCTGCTTGCAGAGCTGTTGGGATGGATGTGAGTGTGCTCAGGAGCTGAAACACGGGCAGGGGAGGGGCCAGGGGAGGGGGAGCGAGACCTAGTGGTGGAAATGGCCTGAAAGATCCCCAGGTGGTGTGCACCTGTAGTCCCAGCTACTCGGGAGGCTGAGGCAGGAAGATCCCTTAAGCCCAGAAGTTCAAGGCTGCGGTGAGCTGTGATTGTGCCGCTGCACTCCAGCCTGGGTGAAAGGGCAGACCTGTCTCTAATAAATAAATAATTAAAAATAGAAAATAAAAATAAAAGATCCTCAGGATCCCCCCAGGGCGTCGGCAATCAAGAGGAGGGAAGAATTTGCCTCCGATTTTTAAAAATAACTTTATTGCAACATATTCTATCATATAATTCACTCATTTAAGTGTACAAGTCAGTGATTTTCTTTTTCAGTAAATTTACTGAGTTGTACAGCCATCACCACAAATCAATTTTAGAACGTTTTTATCACCCCGGTAAGATCCCGCTAGCGCTAGCCGCTGTGCCCTCCCTGGTTGGTTTGCAGCTGACAAAAGGCAAGGCCTGCCAGCCGTCCTGGGCAGGAAGGGGCCGTCCCTCTGCTTGGCCCTTCAAGAAGCCCTTGCAGTCAAGGAGCAGCATGAAAACCTGCCATCAACGTTCTACGCTGCCCTCTTCGCCCTCTGACCCCCGACCCCCGTCCCGACCTCTTCCCCTTCCACTTCCAACACTCCAGACGCGTAGCCTGACTGCAGGTTTCCAGCCCCCCAGACCTCCTCCAGACTCCCTTTCCTCTCTCCTGTGACACCTCCCACCTCCCTGCAGGCCCCCCCACCACTGGATCTGGCTAATTCTCTTCCATTCTTTCGTAATAGAGTACCTTGCTCATTATCTTTCTATTGCGGCATAACTTACATACACTGAAGTACAGATATCTTGAGTGTGCTGCTCAGTGAACTTCTACACGTGTGTACACCCATGTGATCACCTCCCGGGACAGGATAGACACCGCTTCCAGCTTCCTGGAAGGCCCCTTCGTGCCCACTCCCCACACCCAGTCAGTGCCCCTCTAGTTAACCACTATTCTCCCGCCATAGATGTTTTGCCCATTTTAAACTTTAAATAGATGAAATAATACAGAACTTCATATAGATGAAATCATACCTATTTTACTCAACATTATGTCTGTGAGGTATAACATGTTGAAAGTATTAATATCATGCTTCACGATTTTTCATTGATGGGCAACGTTCCATTGTGTTAATATTAATATATTAATGCCACAATTTGTTTATTTATTCTACTATATTTGGATTGTTTCCATTTTGGGCTATTTCAAATAGAGCCCCTATTAACATTCTTGTACATGTCTTTTGACAGGCATATGTACTCATTTTTATTGGGTGTGTAATCAGGGGTAGAATTGCTGAGTTTAAGGGCAGGTATGTTTACCATTAGTGAGATCTGCCAAGCAGCGTTTTCAAAGTGGTTTACCAATTTTAACTCTCTCCAGTAAAATAAGAATTCCAGTTGTTCCACGTACTCACTGACACATGGTATTACCAGTCACTTTAATTTGAGCTTTTCTGGAAGTGTGTCAAGGTATCTCATTGTGGGTTGAATTTGCATTTCTCTATTTATTAATGGTGTAGAGCAACTTTTCATAAATTTGTCAACCATTTTGATATCCCCTTTTGTGAAATGTTGGATCAGGTCTTTTGCCCATTTTTCACATTGTGTTGGGTGTCTTCTTGTTGATTTAGAGGACTTTAAAATATATACTCTGTATATAAATCCTTTGACAGATAGAAGAATTGCAACTTCTTGTCCCAGTCTGTGGCTTGCCTTTTCATTTTCTTAGTGGTATCTCCCAATGAACAGAAGTTCTTAACTTTAATAAAGTCTAATATATCAGTCTTTTTAATGGCTAATGTTCTTTTTGTATTTCGTTTAAGAAATCTTTGCCTCTTTCCAAATCATGAAGATATTCTCCTCCATTTTCTTTTAGAGTTTGATGTTTAAAGATTTGAGATTTTTTTATATGGATATTCGGTGATTTGCACCATTTGTTATAAGACTGCTTTCCCCACTGAATTCTAGATGATCTTTTTGAAAATCAGAGTGACCATACATATATATCTATTTTCTTCCTTAAATTTTATTCCATTTGTCTAATAATCATAACTGCACAGATAAAAGCTGCTTGGTTACTGTGCTTTAAAATTAAGTCATGAAGTCAAGTAGGTGAGTTGCTTATGTTTGTTTTTCTGTGACAAGATTGTTCCAGCTATGCTACATCCTTTATAGTTTTCATATGGATTTTTAAATCAGCTTGTCAATTTTCCTCCAATAAGTTTTATGAGATTTTTATTGGAACTATACTGATTTTTAGATTTAATTTTATGTTAAATTTAGGAGAAATAAAATCTTAATAATATCAAGTGTTCTAACCATGAATATGTATATCCCTCTATTTCGTTGGTTTTTAAATTTCTCTCAATATGCTTGAAATTTTTCTATAAGTCTTATATACTCTTACATAGTACGTTATTTATGCTTTAAAAGAAATGTTCTTATTTCATTTTCCCAATCTTTTTTACTAGTACAAAAAAATGCATTTATTTTTGTATATTACATGATATCCAGCAACTTTACTAAAATTATTCATTATTTCTAATGGCTTGCTTGTGGATCTTTTGAATTTTCTGTTTATACAATCAGATTATCTGGAATAAATTATAATTTTATTTCTTCATATTTACTTTTCATACCTTTTTTTTTTTTTTTTTTTTTTCAGACAGCAGTCTCAGCTTCTTGCCCTAGGTTAGAGTGAGTGACCATGGCGTCAGCCTAGCTCCACAGCAACCTCAGACTCCTGGCGTTAAGCAATCCTCTGCTCAGCCTCCGACGATTTGCTGGGACTACAGGCACGACCACCCATGCCCGGCTAAATTACTAATAATAATGCTGGTATATATATATCTATATATATATTTAGGTTGGCCAATTAATTTCTTTCTATTTTCCTTGATAGTAGAAAGCCGAGGTCTCGCTCAGGCTGGTGTTTGAATCCTGACCTTGAGCAATCCGCCCGCCTCGGCCCCCGCGAACGTGACCTAGAGATTACAAGCATGAGTACCCGCGCCCGGCCATACCTTGTATTTTTGTTGCACTAATTGCACTGGCTAGGATCTTCAGTAACAAGTCACAATAGAAGTGGTGAGGACTGAACAATTCCTTTTCTTATTTTCATTTATCAGAGGAAAATTCCAATATTTCATAGTTAAATTAAGCATGTCAATATAGTTTATTACATTTTTTTGTTGTAATAATATCAGATTTAAAAGTTTTTTTATTTCCTAGTTTTTTTCTGAGTTGGATTTTCTAAAAACTGTGAACAGGTGGTTGAATTTTTAATAGACTGCGATTTATCCTGCAATAATTGAGATCATGATTTTTCTTTATTCTGTTAATATGGTTAAATATTGACTGATTTTTTTGTATTAAACCAAACTTACATCCTGGATAAATTTCACTTAGTCACCATGTACTCTCCCATATATTTTCATAGATTTTTTTCTATGAGGTATTTGTTTCTATTGTTTCATGAATATATTAGCCTGTAAATTACCTTTCTGTAATATTCAGACCTCATAAAATGGGTTGAAAGTGTCTCACTTTTTCTGTTCTCTGGTAGAACATAGTTATATTATTGCTTCTTTAAATGTTTGGAAAAACCCACTAGTATAGCAATTTGGAGTTTTATTTGTGGGAAGGTTTTTAATCATAGATTCAACTTCTTATAGATAATGAACTATTCAGATTTTCTATGGCTTCTTGTGTTAATTTTTCAAGTAATTTGTCCTGTATTTTGTAGCTGTATTTTTCAAGTAATTTGTCCATTTTGTTCAAATCTTATTGACAAAATATTATTCATATTAGCCTCCTATATCTTTTCAATATCTGTAAGATCTATAGTGACATCCTCTCTTTCATTCTCTTATTGATAATTTGTGTTGTCTCCCTTATTCTTGATCAGTCTTGCTATGGGTATATCAATTTTATAAACATTTTCTAAGGATCAACTCTGAGCTTTATTGATTTTCTCTGTTGAATCTCTGTTTTTTCTTTTATTGCTTTCTACTCTTAATTATTTTTCCTTTTATTCTTTGTATTTACTTTGTTTTAATTTATTTTTTTCTAGCTTCTTCTTTAAATTATTCATTCTCTGACCTTTTGTCTTCTCTGGTATACACATACAAAGCTATAAATTTTCTCTAACATTGCTTTAGCTTCATCCTACAAATTTTGATGTTTTCATTATCATTCATATTAAAATAATTTCTAATTTCCATTGTGATTTCTTCTTTGACCCATGAGTTATTTAGAAATGTGTTGTTTAATTTCCAAATATTTGGGGAGTTTCTAGTCATTTTCTAAAAGAGTTATAACTTAATTTCACAGTGTTCAGAAGGGAAACTGTATAGTTTAAATCCTCTGATATTTGTTAATACTTTCTTTATGACTGAGGATATGAGGTCTACTTTAGTAAATCCCAGCACACTTGAAAAGTGAAATTCTATAGTTTACTAAGTGTGTATATATATATATATATATATATTGATTGATTGATTGGGCCAATTTGGTTGTGTTTTTCAAATCAACTACATCCTTACTGTTTT